TTCGTAATAACCGTATTATTATACATTTTTTCCTACCAAGGACACATCATGGGAATGCCGAAATATAAAAAGTTTAGAACAGAATCAGCGAACTTCTTTGTATGGAGTCCGGTCAAACCCTGGTGGCAGCCATGTTTGTTTTTATTATTAGAGGACGCTTATGTGTGTAATCATTCCATATTTGGAATTCCCATTTCCTAATATGGTAGGATGAAAATACCCCGTAAAATACCGCAAAATACGGCACGCCGTAACTTATGGCGTTACGGTGACAGATGTATAATAATTAACATTTATTTATTTATAAATTTAACCTAAACTGTCCATTCATTTTTCTGCAAATGGAGTTCTATGATTTCCAATGAAGTCTGGCATGTTAAGGTAAGTTTCAGTCATTCCATGGCATTTCGCTACATGATGCGACACAGATGATATTGTGTACTCAGGACAGCACACATAACCAACAGCTTTATGTTCTCTCTAGCTGGATGCCATAATCCAAACCCTGAATGCCTTGAGTCTAACAAGTGAGCAATAAATCTTTTTTTGCTGAGTATGTAGCCGACCATGAGAGTTGAACTCATCATCTACCTAATGCTTGGCATAGACACTAAAGTATTAGGCCATGCAAACCGCAGGTAAATTGTATGCATGTCTTTCTGAAACCTTAGCTCTTTGTTTCAGTAATGATGCATTAAAATTAAAAATGAATGCACAAATCGCTAAGTAGTACTGTTAAATACTTTATTTTAGCTGGAATTAATTTTCCCTGAAAAGACTTTTTGGGTGTTTTGTATGGAATTTATTTTCCCCGATTTTTGACAAGTTGAATGTAAAATCTTTGAAAAAAGGTACATGTATATTTGCTGGATTTTATTTTCACTGAATCATTCATTCAGCGGAATAATAGCGAAAATTAATTCCAAGCGAAAATAAAGTATTTTACAGTATATGATAAAGTGTTCACATTACCGTCATCCAGTTGATCATCATCATCCTCCTCCTCCTCCTCTTCTATTTCTGATTTAGCTCGTTTCTTTTTGGCCATACCTTTAGCATTGGTATTAGCAAACTCTAAATGTCCAAGATCTAATATTACCTGCAAAGTAATAAAGACATTAATCACATGTAAAACCAAGTACGCTATACATGTATAGGTTATCTGTGTATGTGTCATGTGTTAGTTTGTCATGTTCCAGTCATTTCTGTGTCATGTGTTAGTTCTATGTATTCATTTGTTTAATGTCACCCAGTCATTTCTGTGTATGAGATGAAAACCATAATATAATCAATGCTATGCTATCATATATTTCATGCTTATTCACTGTCTTGAGGTTAAGTTCATTTTATTATAAGCTAAAATAGCAGTACATATACAGATGATGAAAATAGCTTGATTTGGTAGTGCTTACAATACATATTGACATATAATAATATTAATATTTCTCATTATAATACATGTTATCAATAAAAACATTGAAAATAATGATGCATAGTCGATTTGAAAAAAAACAATCAAGATAGTTTTATCAGCTAGTGTAAACTCAGATACCTGTAATGTAATTTGATGCACAAGAACACTAATATAAACAGTTTCCATACTCATAGTACAGAACCCAAGATTGTTTTATCAGCTAGTGTAAACTCAGATACCTGTAATGTAATTTGATGCACAAGAACACTAATATAAACAATTTCCATACTCATAGTACAGAACCCAAGATAACTAGAATGTAATTACCTGCATAGCATCAGGGGATTGAAAGTTATCTGGTATTATAATATGTGGTGCTGATACGTCCATGTGTATTGCCCATCTCTTGGCATGGTTCTGTCAATATAACAAGTAATAGTATTAGTTATGCAGGGCTAGACACTGAGGGTAGTCCTATATGAACAGATAAACAGCAACTCAGTCGTCTTAACAGACAGTACTGTGGAATACTTTATTTTCGCTGGAATTTATTATCGCTGAAAAGGCTTTTTGAGCGTTTTGTATGGAAATTATTTTCACTGATTTCTGATGAGTTTAATGTGAAATATAGGAAAAAAAGTATATTCGCTGGATTTTATTTTTACGGAATCATCCCTTCAGCGAAAATAGCAAAAATAAATTCCAAGCGAAAATAAAGTATTCTACAGTATACTAAATGCATAGAATACATACATTTTAGACAAGTACTTTACCATGCTGTTTACAATTGTTTCTCAGTACATTTTGGACAAGTTAATTTCAAATTAAATGTGAAGTCCTGATATGATTGCATCAGTTTACTAATGATAGAAATTATCAGTTGTTGTGTTAGTTAAAGTTCAATGCTCCTAGAGCTGGTTGATACAATTGACATTGTGGGCAGTACCGGGTATTACACATTTACCAAAGGTGACACCACAATTATCAACAACTTATATGAATAAGTTATATCGGGTGATAACATTTTTATTGCATGATGAACTCCAAATGTTGAAGTGTTCTCACGACACATTGATGAACATGCATTTACAGTTACAGTCAATTGTTTTTGAAATGGAAGAATTATTATTACCTTTCTTAGTGCTATTTTTTAAAACAAACATTCAGTTGTCAAAATTTTGGGGCTATTGCCATTGCACCATGTGAGTATTTGTTGCTATCCAGTTTCAGCGATAAACATGGTACTGTCGCCGGATTTGGTTACCTCCACGTACTGTTCGAGCATGCATACACATGCATATCGCCATGTTTAGAGTGAAATATTAATTAGTGATATTTCAAACAAAACATCACGACTGTGAATGATATGCACCATATTTACGTTACTCACCACAGTACCACCTTCCAGTACTTGGTCCCATGCTTGCAGTAACTCAGCTCTGGTCTGGTTCTTCAGCTCCTCGTATCTTATACGTGCAGCCTTGGTGAGATGCAACTCAGATGGCCTCGAAGACATCCCACTTTGTTTGGGACTGAAGAAATCAGACACCCTTCTGATTGGCTTGGGATTATATATCATATCAAGAGGTCTACTTGTAATTTCCAATCTAACAAAAAATAAAAATATCACAGTAAGACATCCATCAGGTAATTCCCCATCCACAGTAAATATAAAAGCAATTAAGGTAGAAACAAGGAGCAAACATATTACTATTAGATCTTTAATTTGTACATTTCCTAAAAGTTACTAAGCATGCTACTATAACAACCTATACATCTTCTGAAAGCTTAGATATACTGTAGATGAATACTATACTGTGGATTCCGTACCGATATTTGTCTGAAGGATTACCTCACGACCAATTATGCTATAGTGCATTTTTGAATATCCCAACTCAAAACACCTTTTTTAAACCTTTTCAGTCACATGAATGACCTAGTGACTTGCACAGTATGTTTGTAATGTAAAGCTAGATGACCATGTTTCAGTTTCTCTTTATCTGCAACCAAATAACTACATACATGCCATCAAAAATCTGTTGTTCATACACAGTATACAAATACAGTATCGATTTTCTTAAAAAAAAAAGAAAATAAACAAAGTACCATCGAGGGCTACATTTTAGCTTTTCAGAAGTCACCAACATTCCTACACAAGCTTTATTTATCTTGAAGACCTCTTTCCACAGCAGTATACAAACTGACTTAACTTAATTTTTGGGATTTTATTTTGATTGAAGATCCTTACAAAACCCTCATTTAGAGGGTGATAAACACAGATGTTAATTGTCAATAACTTTCAGATACCTGTAATCTGCATTCGTACTTGTTGGCCTCTTTTCATAGACCAGAACAAACAGTGGTTCTTCTTTTTTTGTTCCTGGAAACATCTGATCTGTGTATGATAGTTTCTCAGGGGTTGCTGGAATCATACCGAAATATTGTCTTCCTTGAACATTACCTTTTTTATCCTACAACAACAATATGTAAAACTTCACCACCTATTCACTTTACAACCTAGTAACAATCTAGATATTGACATTTCTTCTAATAACAGAGCTGCACGTAGTATGGATTAACTAATGAGAATGTGAAATTTCGAGTTTCATTACAAGTCAGGGTTAAGAATCAGATTGTAATCAAGATAACAGTGCATCCTGGCTGACATGAAACAAGTACCCAGTCAGTCGAGAAAGGTTCACTGTTGCATGTGTTTATTTGATGGAATTAGATTGTTTAAAATTTTTGTGTATTACATATAACACAATGTGGTAGAAATCATGTCACATCATGGTTACATCATAGTTACGATAAAAGGGTTGGAGCATTTGATATGGGAGGGCTGGTATAAAAGAATATTTGCAAATATTCTCAAAAAAAATAAGAGAGGTCCACCTGAGGTTTAAAGGTATTTATCAAATATCCAACCGATCGGACTTGCACTATTCAGGGAAAAGACAAAAATGTAAAAAGTTGATGCAAACACCGCAAAAAGGTGGTGTTGTGGACAAACAACATCAGACAATCAGTACTATGACAAGCTCCGCTCAACAAAGTCAACAACGATAACAAAACTAGGACTTGCATGCTGTATGTGTGTATATAAAAGTAATACTAGTAGTGTACCAACCTTAGAACATTGAGGCTGTACAAGCTTGGGGTACAATGAACCTTCAGTTAACAAATCTGTCAGATACAAGGCATCTAGGCTCACATTAAACAACATAGAACTAGATCTTGGACGCGATTCAAAACTCAAATTAACAGTGTCAAATTTGAGCTCCATGATGGGCTGTTTAGTGGTGCCGGGACGGGATGGAGAGTTATCACTGAGTCGAAAGGTACCAGTGTTCAGTGAAAAGTTCAGAAGTGCAAAGACGTTGTCTCTTTTCATGAAAGTGTCATCATCAGAACTGTCTCCAAAAGCAGCCATCATTTCTTCTTCATCTGAAATTGATTTGCAGAGAACTTATCATGGAAATGTGTATCAAGGAATTTTACATGACACATTGCATTGCAGAGAACTTTATACGACTAACTCATTTTTAATACTGGAATTCTACAAAATTGCCCCATGCTTTTAAGGAGTTGCTATTTCTCTGAATGTCTGCTGTTTAAAAGTAGATAATCATCTACATAATGTCAGGACAAGTTGTCCGAATGCTAGATATTTTGTATTACACTGTGATGTACAAAACACTGTCTTGTGAATTTATCAATTACATCGTTCTTATAACATAAGAGATTAAGCTGTGAAGGGTAAAGGATACAAGTAGCTGTCAACAACATTCCTATTGTTTTGATATATGGTATCTGGTAATCAAAATGCAGTTATTAATAACCCACTGTGTGATAGTATTTCAAAGTTTGATTGAAACCAACTAGAAAACAAGCAGCCTCTCGGCTGAGATAGCTCCGCTGTTAGCAATGCACATTTCAATTAAAGAACAGAAGATATCATTAGAAAATGAACAATATGCATAGTATCAATGCAATGGGACTTGCTGTTGAAGATATGGTCATGAAATGAACAAATCTAAGAGAGGTCTACCCAAGGTACATATACACAAAGTATCAAAGCATTCAGGCTTGTAGTTTTCAAGAAGAAGTCGAAAAAGTAAAACATTGACACGGATGCCGGACAATCACTCATATGATAAGCTTCGCTCGACAAAGTCGACAGCGGAGCTAAAAAAGTTAAATGAACCACCAAATAGTCACTGTTAATTTGAACTCCCAAACAGACCATGCTTGTTGCATACTGTATTTTTTTTATTAGAAGCGTATGCACTTAATGTACATTACAGACATGTTCCTGTGGAGGAAAATAAGTCATAATGTATTTTTAAGCCTACATTGTATGTGTGCTTCTATTTGAGATGCACCTCTGATAGATCAAATTAGATCACGTTAGATGGATGCAGAGAGAAACAAAGTCTAAATACGAATTTAGACATCTCCACATTATGTCCAATCATAACATAACTGCTAGATATGAAATACTCACCAATGACAGAAGGTACACTTGGAGCTGTTCCACCACTTGGAGATATCCCACTGGGATCTTCTGCTGTTGGATATGAATACCATCCTCCCCAACCTGGGAACCATCTTTGGAATACACCACCTTGATATTGTTCCTGCTGTTGCTGCAGTGCCTGTTGTTCCTTTTTTTCAATTACTTTTCTAGCAGCCTGAAATCCCCAAAAGCAATATACAATTAAACTTGTGTATAACAACCACCCAAGGAACTCATACATTTCACATATTAGTAATATATGTCCAGAAAATATTTATTAATTGAATTGATCAAAATCAAATAAGTTTGATTTGAAGAAATTAAAAAATGTTTTATTTCTAAACAGAATGCAAATTATTAGTTTAGTATCTAAACAAAGGCCAAATCTGCAAAAATATCACTGAAAGAGTAGTTATGAAAAATAGGTGATCTTTATAAACTGGTTGCTTAGATGTTATGTTTTGTGACTGCCTAAAAAAAGTCACTATAGACAGGAGGTCTTTATATAGGTGTCCACTAACTGGTTTTACTGTACATAAAAAAAAGGTTGGCTCTACAGATATAAAATTCAAATTACAGGAGACAAGCATTTTGTTTTTCACATTTCTGCATGATAATAATCTGTTTATTATTACATGCCTTCACTTTCACACAAATTGAACACATCGTTTAAAATGGGAATGTCCAAGGGTATATCCGGTAAAACGTGTATTACCTGCTGTCGCATGCACAGACTGTTGCAATGCAGTGCACAGACTGTTGCAATGCAGTGCACAGACTGTTGCAATGCAGTGCACAGACTGTTGCAATGCAGTGCACAGACTGTTGCTATGCAGTACACAGTTGTTCAAGAAAGCGAAAATTGCTAAAAGTCAATGCTCACCTCAGTCAATACTTCTACCCTCTTAATCCTCTCCATGGCCACTTCCCTCAGGATTCGTAACTCTTCAAAACTCAACTCTGTCTCCATCAAGTCCTTGTGTTCCTAACAATTGCCAACAAAGATGCCATGAAAATGTAAAATAGCTAAGTTATCAAATACAATATCAGATTCATTTGTGCGTATATATCCTTTGCATTGTGTACATTTCATTCACAGATAACAGCGTGCTGTTACAGGAGGGATGAATGAAGCAGAAGGGTGAACGAAACAAAGAGGGGTGAATGAAACTGGAGGGGTGAACGAAACTGGAGGGGTGAACAAAACAGAAGGGTGAATGAAACAAGAGAGTGAATGAAGTAGAAAGGATGAATGAAACAGGAATGAGAATGAGAACGTAATCGAGAAAGAAGGGGTGAAGGAAACAGGAGGGCGTCTGAACGTATATTGTTTATTAAAATTGGATGTCAGTTTATTAAAATTGCACTCATAGAGATTTAAGTTTTATTGAAGTCTTGGGGCTTAAATGTGAATCACTGAATTTGAGTATATGCAACATTTGATTGTTGGTGACAATTTTGGCTTCAAATTAGATGGTATTTCAAATTTCATATGCAAATGCTTTTGAATAGTGTTCTGACGTGTATGAAATCATAATAATTCAAATATTCTTTGCAATCTGTGCATACTCTTACGATCAAATATGTCGCGTATTGGAATGATCTGAGGTGAACTTTAAAATGAAAAGGCCTTAAACTTCAAAGGAACATTATAGGTAATCGCCTCAATCCTCTTTGAAAAATACAGATTTTCACTATACTATATCTATACACTAAGTCTATTTTATCAAATTTTGCCTTGAAAATGAATGCCATCAGAACTCCAAAGCCCAAGCAATGCATGAGTATTTGCTAAATTTACGTAAATTACAAGAGTTGTTTCTATTAGAAGTGTATCTCCAATAGAAACGCATATAAACAAAATATTGCAATTGTTGTAAAACTAAATCTTTAAAGCGGGGGAGTCGTCACCTGCGCATGCATCAGATGGCCATAGAGTGTCATTTTTTACAAACAAGCATGAACTTGTGCGTTTTTAGTTATTATCGGTGTTTGGGACTCAATTCCCGCATGTGCGCAGGTGACAACCCTCTCGCTTCAAAATATTACTTATTTTGATCATAGAAACAACATGCTTTACTAAAAGAGTAAATATGGTATATGTTTAGTGCTAATATGGTAATTGTTTACAATGTAGTCTTACTTTGAGTTCCCCTGCCATAGTGGGATTAGTCAGATAATGTGTATATGCATGAACATATCTCACATTATTACTACCACGGTTTAATATATAGAACCAACATTGTTTGTTATTTCTCTCTTGGACGCAATGCAGCGTGGCGTTTATTGCAAACTTCCACCAAAGCTTAGGACTGTAAATGATAAAAAAAATGTTATTTATTAATATTTCATAAAGATAGACTACTGAAAATAACTTATTTGTCATGGGCAAATAAAATTAACAAGTTTGTTTAATAGTGAACAAAACAGAAATGAGTCGGCCATTCGGAATTAGAAGTTGACGCGATAGCATGTGCGACATACATTGTATAATGTAGGTACAAAGTTTGATTGCAATCAGTCAAGCAAAGTATGTCAGAGTTATATCTCTGGAAAAGAAGTCGTTATTTAAACCTTTTCACCACCAGACTTTCTCGCCAAAATTGTTATGCACTTTTTCTTATATTCTTCAATATTTTTGGAAATGAATCCTAATTTTGGAGCCAGACTATTAAATAGACTGTTTTGTGAATTTGTGATGAAAAGAGGGACTGGTTGTGAAAAGGTTAATACAAAATGTCTGTCAGTCGGCCATTTTGAATCTTATCGGGAAAATAAATGAGTGAGTTTAATCTTTTGGGGCTGCCAATCAGTTCTTTACCCCAACATTAAGGGATGTTTGAATTGCCATTGTGCATTATAATTTTGAAATATTCATGTGTTGTAAACGTAGGACCCACATCAAACCAAACACAGTGACCACAGCCCTTCAATCATGTACCTTTGAAAGCAGGAATATCTATCAAAATGGCAAAAAATATTGAAGAAATGCAGCAAAAAGTACCTCACCTTTCTTTGACTTTACACAACGGCCGCCATTTACGGTGTCTTCTAGCTTTCTCATATCTCTCGTATTCTTTAATAAGCGCCACAATACCCCTATACTGGTGTTCTATCAGCTCTAATGGAATACTGGTAAGTTGAAGATCACAGGCAATACGAGGGTTGTTACGAGATCTTAATGGAATGGCAGATAGATTTCTTTTGAACTTGGCTTTGGCACTTACAGGTTTCAAGATGTACTCGTGTTCCTAGATATAAGATAAGACACAGAAGAGCTGGAAGTCATTTGGAGAAAGCTAACGGAACTACTGTGAATGGCGTCCTGTAGTACTATGCAAGAACAATTATTCATAATTAGGATTGTACAGTGGGTGACTTGTTCAATGTTTGGGTATATTATTCCACTTTCGAGCATTTGCAAGTTCACCAACAAAAATGAATGGTATTACACGCATGAGGAGGGGGAGGAGGCAAAGGTTGTTTGTGTAGAAGACAAACTCTGATATTAGGAGTTGCATGAATTTTATTTTAATTCTAATAATTTCAAAAATCCTTTGTTTGTATATACCGGTAATCAATTTAATAAATGAAATTATGCTCTACTATTAGCGCATGCACTCACATACAAGACAGAGGTAAGTCCATGATCAAAATAAGTCATACATTTTTGGTTTACAAGTGCTTCTACTGGAGATGTATTATTAGAAAACAAGTTTCAACACAGATACAACACAATGCACTTAATATGCAAATATTGTAGTAAGCAAGGCTTTTTTTAATAATAGGAACAAAAAAAATATTACATTACCTGGAAAATGTCTTGACCTTTAGCTTTGAACATATTCCTCTGTAATGCATCCTGAAACACAGACATAGTTTTCAGACTGTAGTGTATATCTACATTCAACATTTGAAGAATTTTTAATCACAGTCTCATACAGTACAAATCGAACTTAACATTTGAATAGCTTTAAAGCTAACTTAGTATGCTTTCCAAACTACAACATTGTGCAGAGTAATCTTCCTAAGTATATCTAATAATAGTAACAGAGGTAAATAGTGCAAAATATAAGTTGAAATTATTGATGACAATCATACTCCCTTATTATTATTATTATTATTATAAGTTTTAATGCAAAAGCATTAGCTGATAACCAGCTTTGAAGTTAAGACATGTTGACACTGTACTGTAATAACGGGAACCATTTTAACCAATTGAGTGCTGAAGATTTCACATTTTCTGTAATTTTCACTGAATTCAATCTTAATTTTAGATCAAACAGACAAAATGATACATTGCTTTCTGTTTTTAATCAAAAAATTTGATATTTTTACAACATTTCATATAAAAAAGAACAGACTATAAATACATGGAACTATTTTGTGGATGATGCCTTAGATTGACAGATTGACTTAAAAGTAAACACGCAAGGTAGCAGACTCTTCATTGAGTAAACAGTTACTTTCATGACACTTCACCCTCACAAATTTAACCCAAATTATCAAATCGTGAACTGATAGCGTAAACAATAAAGCAGTTCATAGTATTACTATGAATCTAAACTCACAGCTAATTCAGTCATGGGTAGATCACCAATAAACTCTGGATTGAGATCCCAATAGAGGGCAAAGTCTTGTAATTCTACTAGTTTATACATCATTTCACTGCTGTCTCTGCTTACAAACTTGGGAACCTAAATAAGAGTACAAAGACGATATAGTGAGTGATTATTTCAATATAGAAATAGTACCCGTACTATTTGAGAATGATCCAGTCGTGCGTAAGAATACATGTAAAAAGTATCATACTTTAAGTACAAGCTGATATAATTCATATGAAGTACAAGCAGAGATTTTTTTAAAGAAGGGAACAGGGGTGCAGCGCCCTCATGCCATGGCCATGCGCCCCCGGGAGCAGATCCTCTGGCAACCATAAAATTCTGATTGACCAGTGATCACACGTGGCCACAGTCTTCAACTGTTACCTGTCTGATAGTAATTTTGGCTCCAAGGAAGCCATAGAATGCTCCATTTTAATGTAGAATTATCAAAACCTTCACACCCTGGTAGGGAGAATCATATCTCCCCCACTTGGCGGTACTGCTGAATTGCAGTGCTCCCTCTTGCAGTTTATTTTTTTAGATAACCCTCTGTACAAGTGCTGAAGCACGAGTGACTGTTATCACTTGCAAACATTCATTATATGTTATACATGCATATTAATTATTCATGAGCATGTTATGATGTCATTTACAGATTGAGGAAGTTTTGTATAAAGGACAACACAGAAAGTACTCCATTTGATTTATGGCTTACCCAACTGCCATCTGTACTTTGAGCTGACAACTTAGTGATGGTGATACCAAATGCAAAAGACTGGTTTGGTATAGTAGTTGAATCTTCGTATCGTATATGTACATCCCTTATATTGAGCTGAAAAGTAAAGAAATGTCAGTCATATTTAGCCACAATTGCATATAAATTTTGTTGGCAGGTAGGTTTGAAAAAAGATTACACATTGAATACTATGATGTTTTACATCATCAAATTTTCTATTTTCATGTTTGGATTTGTGTATTTACTGTTTTTTTCCTAAATGGTTTTCAATTTGCACAAAACAATCCATTAAAAGTGCCACAGCCCCTACTCTTTTTTTACTATCAACAAAAATAAAACAGGAACATTTATATACAATATTTTTGTACACGTGTATGTTTCAGTTCTATGCTGTGAACTAAATGTCCTGGACTGTAAAACCTTAACATGTACAGTCTACATTGAAAGTGTT